TTTCATAATCCAAGAATTAAGAACAAGCATACAATATAATAACTTTCATAATCCATAGCCCAAATAAATAGTTTAAATACCCTACAAAAAAGATAACCCTTTATGAAGTCGTCAAAAAACAAACGTTACGGAAGTTTTTTGTTTTTTTGTTTTTTTTATATGCACAAATCCCTTTCATCATAAAAAATAAAATAAAAAAATAAATAAATCTCCATAGACACACATATCAGACTAGGGTTAATACATCTTCAGTTTCAAATTTAGACACCCCCACCTTTCCCTGATTGACATCTATGAAAGTAACTCTATACTGATACTTATTAACACCCAACACACGCCTACCCAATTTAAACAATTCGCCCTAGCTGTTACCATGGAAATTTTGATTTTTTGATTTCAATTATTAAAACACGTAAATTTCAGAAATACGTTAATCCAAAAAAAATTCGCTTGAAGATGGAACAGAGCTTATTTTAAGTCAATTTAATTCTAATAATTATATTGAAGTTTTCGGCCCTTGTTTTGAAACATGAGACCTCTTATGTCGCGAGTTGGAATCATATTTTTTAAATAAATAATTATATATATATATATATATATATATATATATATATATATAGATAGATAGATAGATAGATAGATAGATAGATAGATAGATAGATAGATAGATAGTCCAGCCATTGGTGCGAACGATGACATTGGTAGTCTGGGTTCGAACTTTGGCAAAATTCACATTAATTCTGCGGAGAAAACCGTGGATCACATTCTTCTCCATCCATCCTAGGGATAGGTTAAACCGTAGGGGTAGATTGAGCAGCTGAGAGGGCAGCCAATCTACAAGAAGCATAAAGAGAAACACCTCACCAACATGATAGCGGAGAAAGAACCATTATTCTTCATTTCTGACAGATCTGTAAAAAGTCTGTGGTTCTGTGGAGGAATTAAAAAAAAGATTGATAACAATGAACATTCTCTTTCACTTTCTTTCTCTCTCTCTCCCCCCATATATATATATATATATATATATATATATATATATATATATATATATATGATTCAACAAACAATTCCAAAACAATTTCTAATATTTGGCAGATTGGCTAGATTTTAGGTACTGAGCAAACCAACTGTTTTTGCACCACTCCTACACACACACACACACACACACATACATACATATATATATATATATATATATATATATATATATATATATATATATATATATATATTATATGTAGAGAGAGAGAGAGAGAGAGAGAGAAAGAAAGAGTGAAAAGAGAGAGATGAGGTGGATCAATAAATCCGCATCTTGAATCATACACATGAACTGAATAGTTGAATTTATATATATATATATATATATATATATATATATATATATATATAGAGAGAGAGAGAGAGAGAGAGAGAGACAGACAGACAGACAGACAGACAGACAGACAGGAGGTGGAAAATAGATAGATAGATAGATAGATAGATAGATAGATAGATAGATAGATAGATAAAAAAAATTTCTATGACGTTTCTTCTGTTTCGGCAGGTCTTGTGAGGCGTAATATAGTTTTGGATGTGTGTGTTTGCCAACCTGTGTGGGTATGCGTGTGAACGTTATCACTTATTATAACACACACACTGAAACACGAACAATTATACACACACACACACACTCACACACACACATATATATATGTATATGTCATTGTCTCTTTTGTAAATAATATTAGCTATATTAGCTAAAGAATAATATCAGATGTGCGAATGTGTTTCTCTGATCCTGATACGAATCATCGTGTACGTGCTGACCATGAGATAGATAGAAAGGAAGCCAGGATTTTGATTAAAAAAAAAACATTGAAAAGAATAGAAGAATATAAAATATCAGAAAGAGTGCGTAGTGAGAATGTCGAAAAGAATGAGGACAAGAAAGAGAGTGGAGACGCAGAATCAGAAAAGGGCGTGGTTTAGCTCTCGTCGTGTTAGGAGAGGCGCCTTACAAAGGTTAAATACATTCATCAGGCGAAAGGAAAGGGAAATTGAATTTATCGTTAAGGCAAAAGGGATCGGGGAGAAAAGAAAGGGTGTACAGAATGGAGGGGGGTGAAAGGAGAACGAGAGAGAGAGAGAGAGAAAGAGAGACTCATGGACGGAAGTCGAGTCTGAAGGAATTACGAATGAGTTGATTAAATAGTCAAAGAGAATAGCAAGAGGGGGTTGAAAACTTCAGGGAGAAGGAAGGAGAAACTAAGAAAAAGAAGGCGATAAAGAAGTGGAACGAACTGGACAAAGACAGGAGACGACAGGATGGGATGCAGAAACCAAATTCCGAAAGAAAAGAGGAGAAATGTGAAATTATTTGATGAAGAACGTCATGGTATTTTTTTCATTAAGTTTTACCTAAAGACTTTGAAATTTCTTTGAATCGAGAAGTGGGAATTTGATTCTGGCAACCGGGAAAGAGTTCCCCAAGAACTATGGCGAGGTCTGTGATTGCTGCCATATATGGGCTGGAGCACCTTCTGCTTACCTCGGAGTTCTTGACAAGATCCAGAGAAGGATATGTAATCTAATTGGCCCTGATCTAGCGTCTTGCTTGCAGTCACTCTCTCACAGACGCGCCGTCGCCTCTCTCTGTCTTTTCTACAAATACTCCCATGGTAACTGCTCTGATGAGCTGCTCTCTCTGGTTCCCAGACTCCATGAATTCAAGCGCCCTAGGCTGGCATCCCTCTCACCCCTTACACCGTAGAAACCTTCAAATGTAGCCGTCTCTTCTACTCCAATAGCTTCATACCTCGCACCTCTCGCCAGTGGAACACCCTCCCCAATTACTGTTTCCCTGAAAGCTATAATCTCCAACTATTCAAATGTAATGTCAATTGACATCTCCAGTTACCTTGATCTACCCACTATCCTTCTCCTCTTCCTTTCTCCTATCACACTTATCTGCTCTCGCTCCAAACCCCCTGCATCCTAGTGGCTTCACGCCTTGCTTGGGGCACAATGCTTAAAAAAAAAAAAAAAAAAAAAAGAAAGTTGGTTCACAATATCGAGCGAGGCAATTTTTCTCACCAGAATCTATCTTACATATTTATGTCTAGCATTCGTACTTACTGCCACATCTGGTCTGATGCTCCCATTATATATTTAAAGATTCTTGATAAAATCCAAGAAAGAATCTTCAATGTTATTGGTCCTGACCTGGCATCTCGGTTTCAATCAATTTCCCACCGCCGTAAGGTTGCTTCTCTTTTAATCATTTCATTCCTAGCAAGGCGTTAATGCCACTAAGGCGCAAAGGTTTACTGGGAGTGGAAGAGAATGAGAAGAATTTAGCGAGGAGAAAGGGCAATAAAAGAAAATTCTTCAGAGAGGCAGAATAATTTTTTGAAGATTGGCAGGGTGGATATGGGTTGTGGTGTAATGGATATTGGCTCGGAATGCGAAATTTGAGAGCCGAGTTCAAATTTTAGTTGAGCGTTACATTCACTTACGCACAAATGCCATTGGTAAAGGTATGAATTCATCTATTCTCTCCAGCTATGGATTAAATAGGAAAACAGACTGGGTCTTATGGACTTTTTCAGCAACCAGTCTACCGCAGAAAGAAATGTCAACGTACTGCGGTAAAAAAAAAAATTCTGCCCAGTCAATCATGAATCGAAAGAGAGACATGATTAACCCAGTGTGTATCACGTATGCCATATATCTGACTGAGGTGTCAGGGAATCAGAAAGCCAGAAGTAAGTGCCACAGGCGAGAAGTGCGACAAAACAAACTATTAGAATCGCAGTTATAAAATACTTTGTAATGGTCACTCTAATGTGGGGATTACTACCACTTTGTCGACCAGGACGCCGATAGGTGGCGTTGTTCCAGGATTACAAAAGGATGAACAAATTCACTCACTCTCTCTCTCTCTCTCTCTCTCTCTCTCTCTCCATCTATCTATCTGTCTATCTATCTATCTCAGTTTATCGATGTAGAATGCAGTAGGTACAACTTATTGTTCTATTAACGAATTGAGAAACTGATCCCCCTTTTCATCATTTAACGTCATATATCAAATTCTTAAAATCGGGCAAAGGAGAGATTGTAGGGACATTATTTTTATAAATAAATAAAAATAAAATAATAATAATAATGAAAATTATGAATAAAATAATGATAAAACAGTAACATTTAAACTTTGTATGAAATAAATTAATATAGAATAATAAAAATACTCCCAGCATGCAACAAAAACTGTTCCTGTCGGAAAAACGGATATCCCGCCTAAAGACGTTAAATTCAACCTCTTCGCTACGAATCTTCTGACGTCTCCCACTCTCTATCTCTGTGACATTGCTTGTAATAGTACGGAGTGACTTCTCCCTTTTATCGCATGCAACCATGAAACATTTTTAATAAAAAATACACACACCAGTACACATAAAAATAAGTATATTGTATGATATTGTATGATATTGTACAATTTACCATACCTTCCCTGCTATTTCTGTGTATGTTTTATTGCTGTAAAGTGTGTTTTAATTCCTCTGAACACGAGGCTATTTCTACAGCTATAATTTGAGTGACCACCACAAGACCTTTCTTACTTAAAGGCTAATGCTTATTTTGGAAACCATTTTTAATTACTCAAAGTCAAGTACTCTTAATCCCAATTATTTGTTTATTAATCAATCATTTTATTTTATTTTTTTACGATAGTTTTTGTCTATTTATTTCATTCATTTAGCTTAATTGAGTTATAAAAATGTAGATGTGCAGTTGTTGCAGTGCTTAAAGGCTCGGAACGAGAACTCGCTAAGCCGAGTTTCGCACAACTACACTTGGGAAAGGTAAGAACACATCTGTTCGTCCTTCAGCTATTTAAATAGTAAGGAAGACTGAACTCTCTAGCCTAGGCCGTCACTAGTATAGTATAACTCTAGTCCGTTTCATTTCTTCCCTGAAAACTATTATCTTCAATAATTTAAATGCAGCGTCAATCGCCATTTTCTGCCTTCTTGAAACCCGTTCATCTGTTGTCCTTTTCGTTAATTCTCCCTATTTTTAGTCTTCTCTTTCACTTTCTTTTCTCGTAAGCCCCTGCGTTCTAGTGTTATTACCCCCTTACATGGGGTGAAATGATAAAAAAAATGTAATTATATATTTTATTTCATTTTATTCTGCGATTTTTAGCTCAGACATTCACGAGTCTATCAGGCCAACCAACACGGTCCCACATCAAAATGAGAAAGATACAGTATACAATTTTGTTTTTGCGTCGGGGTTCCTTGAAATCTCAAAACATCCATATATGTTGTGTTTCGTATCCTAACGTAAACAATTTACTCCAGAGAATGGATTAAATCCGACATATTATTATAATTTTGTTTCGACGTTATTTTTATGAATACGCATATTCAAGTAGAAACTCTGTCTTTTAATTAAACAGTATTTTTATCCAACTGCATCTACCGGCATATATTCGAGAAACCTTGATTAGAAAGAAATTATATATTACTCTCTCATTGTTCAATGCTACTTGACGTTTCATGTAATGGCAGACGCTGTTAAATGTACAATCCAAGATACAATCTGATCCACCAACAAATGTTGGTTGTGTAAATTGCTTATTCCATCTCTTCCAAATGTTGCGTCATCTGTAAACAAGACGGAAGAGACAAACAACAGATCGGCAGTTTGTGCAATATACCATCGGCAAACATTCTCCTGTTGTGAATGATCAGACGGCGGACGACACTGCACACGTTGCAAATAAGACGGATACAGGAGCTACTCTTGAAGTACCTTCCATACAATGCTATGACATGAACGACATGCTAGGGCCACATGACGTGTGCTGATATCAGAATCATCTCCGACAGCCTTTAGAATGTGTTTTTCGTGATCAGGCGTAGTAGAAGATCTCGGTATTTCTTGATCCATAGTTTGTGGTGCTACGGTTTCTGTCTCAGCAGCGCAACGATAAACAACAGAACAGTTTGCATAAATCGGCTGGTTTCATTCTGCATTCGCAATCTGGTACAACCGTGCAACGTCGCATCCATTACCATTCGCGCGGCCGTATGTAAAAATCATATCTGCATGATCACAATATGAATATTCCGCCATTGTTAATCGGAACACTTCTCAGTTAACTCACAAAATTTGTAAAAGTATTCTTGATACACCCTATATATATATATATATATATATATATATATATATATATATATATTTTATTTCATTTCATTTGGTCGAGTTAGCTCATTTCTAATAGCATTTTCGGATACAACAATACATATATTTTCGTTGTCCTCTTATTACTGAGAGTAAAAAACAAGAACAACATCTATTCCATACCTGAAGATGTCTGTAGAAACAGACGAAAGCTTGTAGTAAAAATAAGAACCAATGCAACAGAAATTTATAAAACAAGGAACTTTTCATTCATAACAGGTTCGGGGTTTTTGTATATTATTTGAATTGTTCGCGACGATGGATTTCTCATAATTAAATCATTAACCTTTGTATTTGTTTTTGTATGAATAATTCATGAATTTGTAAATATATATATATATATATATATATATATATATATATATATATATATACACACACACACACACACACACACACATATATATATATATATATATATATATATATAAGTAGACATATATATATATATATAAGTAGACATTAAAGTCAATACCAAGCGGTGGCAGTCTGTTTCATGCTTGAACTAACCTTTATACCCCAACACACACACACACACACACACACACACACATATATATATATATATATATATATATATATATATATATATATATATATATGTTGAGGCATATTTCATTGAATAATTTAGACAAGTTTTGCCTATTTATTTTCAATTGGATCCTTTCATATTCACGGAGAAGCTTTTGTGCCATTATTAAAGCAAGAAAGAACATTACCGTGTTGATACGTATTATCGACATTAGAACAATGTAATCATCAGGGTGTTGCTTATTTCAAGACAAATATTGTAGTGTTTGCCATTTTCTAAGACAAAATTGCTGTGTTCATCTGAAAGTTAAAAGAGATGTTTTAAGACATGAGTATTAAAACTATTAGTACAAATCTCGATATTTTAAAATATCTACTTTAAACATTCTTGCAGTATTGATAATTAATTTTATTAAGATTTGGTTTCAAAACTCTCGACAACATCATAACTTAGTTACCTCCCCTGTAGCATTGCTCAAGCCAATCACACAACACTCAACTCAGCGTTCTTCACTTCACAAAAAGATTTTTACTTTCAGATGAACACAACAATTTACATATATATATATATATATATATATATATATGAAAGAAAAATACAGAAAAAAAAACAAAAATCTGAATATGCATTTATGTAGTATTAATGTTAATATAAAGTCGACGTCGGACGTTTCGGTCTATTTAAGACCATCTTCATGGACATTTTCATTTAAACATAATTAACATTATAACTTATAAAAA